GTGGCAATTGTTTCTAGATCTGATCTCTTGTAACCGTTTTCAACAAAAATATCTGTTATAAACTGAATCTTGTTGCTAATGTATTTTTTAGAGCAGATTTTGGTGGCTTGTGGTATGAAACCTTTAAAAACTCCAGTTATAATGATGGGGTTGATATTTGAGTTAGATTTTTATATGTATGTATGTTTGAATTGCTTTTTACGCAGAAATTTGAAATCATAATGGTAATTTTTTTTTATATCTGTTTAATTTCAACCTCTATCGAGTACTGAATATTGGAGACTTGTTAATTTAGTAAAATAAAAAATTTGTTATGCTTTTCAGTTGATTTAAATTAGGTATGGCTATCATTAACATAACTACATAACAATTGTACAATACAGTGTTTTTATTAGATCTTTATCCTTGTACTTGAATGTATTATTTAATAGCGACAGCATATTATTTGCTTTACTAGCTGCATATTTTACTTGTTTGGCCTATTTTAAATCACTTGATATATAAACACCAACGTCTTTTTCTAGTTTTGACTTTTCAATTTTCATTAATGTATTGTTATTGTTCATAAAATACGAATATTCTTTATTATTTAAACCAAAGTGGATAATTTTACATTTTTCAAAATTTAATCCTAACTTCCATTTTGTTGATCACTCGTCAAGTTTATTTATATCATTTTGAAACAATTGTAAATCATTTTGAGAAGAAATAGGCGCAACTATCTTATTATCATCAGGATATAAACGACATTCAATAATAAAATTTTCTGGTAAATCATTTATAAAAACCAGAAAAAGGAGAGGACCTAGAACAGACCCTTGTGGTACACCACTAAGTACATCAACCCAATTTGTCACACTTTCACCTAAAACCACTTTGAGTTAGGTATGGTTCTAATTCCATTTTTATACAAAAAATACCATTGGCTAATATGTAGTTCTATTAATTGGTGGATGTCAGTAAGTTTTAATTTGGTTCTTGTTTTAAGATCAGATATTTTTTGGGGAATATTTGAATTTAAAAAACGCCATAAATCTTAAAACTTTTTAGTTAGTTTTTGTTTAAGTATCAGAAAATTGTTTGAGTATTATTAGCTAAGATTTTATTATAACATTTTATATATTATTTTAGTTTCTTTGAATATTTGTAGATATAAATAAAAAGTTGCACACTAAAGAACTATCCAAGATTATTAACTTCATAATAATAGTATAAAGTGTTAAATGTTGATACGCTTGGTAATTTTTATACTGACTTTTTTTTAATCTTATTTTTAGTTGCCTTGGGACCCTAATAACTCTGGCACATAAAGGTAGTGGTTAAAAAATTACAGCACGGAGGTCTGTTTTTCCATTTTTTTTATATATTGATATGTACGTAAAATCACATGTAAGTTTATAAACAGAAAAAAATTGATTAAAAAACTTTGTTTTTAGTTTGATTTTTATTTTGATAAAAGTTTAAAAATTTAAATTTAAAAATATTTCATATAATTGTTCAATTTAATAATTAAGTTTTTTAATTTGATTTCATTGAGTTGTCATTACTTAATTTATTAGCAATTCGTTTTAAGAAAGTATTTTGATTTTTTAAATTAGAACTTTGATATGAAATCATTTAAATATATAAAAAAAAATTAAAAATATGAAAGCCGCAGTTAGCACACTTAGCCCAGCTAGTACACTTACCAAAGCGAACGTCGGCTATTTTCTCCGATGCAAATGCAATGTTGATCCAATGCTAGTTTTTTTGTATTTATATTTATGAAAATATTAATACCGAGGTAATTAAAAATAGTTAGCAAAATTACATTGGTCCAAAGTATGTAAAAACATCGTAAAAATTGGTTGTTTTCCAGATCTAAACCCAACGATGTATAGGAACCAACGTGGATCTAATGTATATTGATCAATGTTGATCCAATGTTTATTACGTAACGTTCATCCAATGTGTACGGTTAACGTTGGATTATATACATAGAACCAACGTTGATCCATATACATTAGAACAATGTTGGATTTAATACACTGGATCAACGTTGTGTTTGCATCGAGAAAAGACAGACATACAAATATAGATTCGTATAATTTAGAAGAATTATTTTTTATTCCAATATTATATATAATAGGTTATGGAAATATATTGCGTAAATAAATTTTTCTCGTTTTTATTTAAGGAAATATCAAGGCACAAACAAAACAAACATGAACAATGTTTCTTTATTCAGATTAACAACAACATATTAATTGGTGGATATATTATTATTTTAATATGCTTATTTTTGTTGGCAGTTTTCTAAAAGATATGGAATTGAGGAGAAAATGGATACAAGTTATGTGGAGTGATGGTTTTACTCCTAGTAAACTGTCTAAACGTTGTGGTAAATATTTCACTGGTATGAAGGAAATCTTTCGAGTTCACAAAAGAAACTAAAAAAAGATGCAATTTCTTCTATATTTAATTTCCCAATGTATATATATATATATATATATATATATATATATATATATATATATATATATATATATATATATATATATATATATATATATATATATATATATATTAGACTTACTGTATTGAATTATCTTTGATATCGTTAACATTAATGGTATGATTATCAACATTATTATTCCTAAATATATATATAAATATATATATATATATATATATATATATATATATATATATATATATATATATATATATATATATATATATATATATATATATTTAATTATTTATATATACATATATATATATATATATATATATATATATATATATATATATATATATATTTAATTATTTATATATACATATATATATATATATATATATATATATATATATATTTAATTATTTATATATATATATATATATATATATATATATATATATATATATTTATGAACAATAATTTTGATAATTATATCATTATTGTTTCAATATATATATATATATATATATATATATATATATATATATATATATATATATATATATATATATTTATATATATATATATATATATATATATATATATATATATATATATATATATATATATATATATATATACATATATATTTATGAACAATAATTTTGATAATTATATCATTATTGTTTCAATATATATATATATATATATATATATATATATATATATATATATATATATATATATATATATATATATATATATACTCATATAGTGTCGCTTTAAGAGCATTTTAATGTAAAAAAAGTCTCTTACGATTACAATTTTAATTACCTCGTCTCTTAAGCTGTTTTTGATTGTCGTCGAAATGTCAAAGCAATTAATTTATGCGGAAGTACATTAAATTTAATTGTTTTTTAAAAAATTTTTAAAAAACCGCAATTATAACGACTAGAAAGTTTTTTTTAATTAGTGGTGTTTTTGTTATTGATTTAATAAAAAACATTTTTTAAACATGCGTAAATGTTGCTACATCGACTATCTTATAGCCTGACTCGCAACGGAGTGCTGCTACATCGACTGACAAATAGCCTAACTCGCAACGGAGTGCTGCTACATCGACTGACAAATAGCCTGACTCGCAACGGAGTGCTGCTACATCGACTGACAAATAGCCTGACTCGCAAGGGAATGCTGCTACATCGACTGACAAATAGCCTTACTCGCAAGGGAGTGCTGCTACAACGACTGACAAATAGCCTGACTCGCAAGAGAGTGCTGCTACATCGACTGAGGGTTTGGTTTGGCCAGGCAGTCTATCAATTAAAAAAAAAAAAATAATTTTTAAAACTTTTTCTGGTCTGGTTTATTAACGCGCTCTTTAAAACTACAGTTTATGGGAAATATTTTTTGATGCTACGCAAGAGACATGCAAGACTATATATATATATATATATATATATATATATATATATATATATATATATATATATATATATATATATATATTTTTAGGAACAATGTTGATAACTATATCGTTAATGTTAACAATAATATCACCAATAATTCAATACAGTAAATCTAATTTAAATACATTACAATGACATACTTTACAATTACTTTTACAATATCATATATTGATGTAAATGTTTGAGTTTACTTTTTGTGACAATAATATCTTTATGGTTTTAAAAACATTGTTGAAAAGTGTCAAATCAATCCTAACACCAATGGTAAACAATATATTATAAAGTTTTAAAAATTGAATATAAGTAATCTTGCTGCTAAACAAAAGACAATTAAAATTCTTCAGCAATCCAACTATTGTTTAATAAAAAGGATAAAAGACTTACATTCATACCTTCGTCATATAATAAAATATAATAAAGTAATATATTATGTAAAATATACATAATATAAATGCATATATATATTATAGTATATATATATATATATATATATATATATATATATATATATATATATATATATATATATATATATATATATATATATATATATACATATATATATATATTATATATATATATATATTATATATATATATATATATATATATATTATAGTTTATATATATATGTATATATATATATATATATATATATATATATATATATATATATATACATATATATATATATACTTTATATATATATATATATATATATATATATATATATATATATATATATACTATATATATATATATATATATATATATATATATATATATATATATATATATATATATATATATATATATATATATATATATATATATATACTATATATATATATATATATATATATATATATATATATATATATATATATATATATATATATATATATATATATATATATATATATATATATATTATATATGTATATATATATATATATATATATATAAATATATATATATATATATATATATATATATATATATATATATGTATATATATATATATATATATATATATATATATATATATATATATATATATATATATATATATATATATATATATACATTGAAATAAATATACAATTGCAGCTGCTTAGCTAAAAAATGTTAATCGGAAGAAGCAAAAGTGGATGGCGTGGTGCCAGTAAGATGGCATGGATATGATCTAGTCTCAATTAAGTTAGTCGCAGGTAAGTGTTTGAAAAAAGTTTTACCATTTATTTTTAGACTAATTTTTTAATGTTTGTGCTTGAAGAACGTTGTTTAAATTGTTAGGAGTCTTCAGCACTTAATTTCAGCGAAATTCTATTAAAAAATCATGTTAAAGAAGACAGAAAAATATCAACATCTGTTTTCAATAACTTGGTTTTCATAGCAAATCTGAGAGATGCAAATTTTTCGCTTGATTTAAGTACTACATAATAAAATACATCGTTGTACAATCATTTTGATGGTTGTAAATTTATTTAGCACACTCAGTTTTATATATATATTTTAATAAGGAAATCATAATTTATATATATATATATATATATACAGTGCCGGCCTTAGGGGGGGGCGAGGTTGGGCGCCGCCCAAGGGCGCCAGGAAACTGGGGCGCCAAACGTTGTATGCAAACTTTAACAATATACTAAATAGAAAAAATAAGTCAAGGGATCGTCCATAAATTACGAAACGCAAAGTTTTACAAAAAACAAAACAAAAAAAGATCAAAAGTTTTCCCTCGCACAGTCTTAATTTAAATAAACAATGAAAATAGGAAATTAAGTCAAATGAAAATCGCCGCGTAAAAGAGCCTAATATCTCCTACTCCTGTTCTTAAAATATATTTTGCGTTGCGTAGTTTATGGACGATCCACAACCTAAATTTTTTCGATTTCGATTTTCGATTTTTTGTTATTTTTTCGAATGTTTGTTTTTTTTACAAAAATAACTTCTTTAAATAATTTATATATTGTATTATTACACTGTTAAAAATTGTTTATGCAAAATTAATAATTTGATTAAAAGTGTTTCAATCATAGCATACATTTTGTCACTTAAAATCATTTTTTTAATTGTATCTTTCTCGGCGCCAATTATTTTGCGTTCCATTTATTTAAAGTTTAAATTTTAAACATTATTTTCGAAACGAGTTGCAAGCGCGTCGTTTATTAATTTGTAAAAAAAAATTAAAGTTGTATTTGTGATTCAAATTCAGTTTTTGTCAAGTTTTCAAATTTTGCGGTAATAAAAAGCAGGTAAGTATAAATAATGAAATTGTTTATGAATTATTAGCTTGCGAGTAATTTTTTATTTTAAAATTTTAGACAAATAGAAACTGTCAGCAGCAATCAATGGAGAGTACTCAAAATAAAGAAAAAAATGTTTTTAAAACTCATAATAATAAGAAACCATCTGGTGCTCAATACAGAAAACGTAAAGCAGAAAAAGTTGATAATTTGAAGAAAAATTATAAAAAACTTGAAAATTATTTTACATCGGAAAATAGTGATTGTAATAAAATAAAGGAAGGAGAAAATGTTGCGCATGTACTTAGTGATACATCAACCAGCGATGAAGAAGACGGAATAGTGTCAGTTGGAAATGTTCACTACGATGAAAAAGATATCGATAACGAAAATGATGATGGCCAAGATGGTGATGTAAATGATCGCACCAAAGAAACAGCAATCGATTACTCAGACTGTGGTATGTGGCCAATTCATCGCAACATTCAATTTGTTGATTATGTAATTAATATAGGTGCAATACAAGTTAATTTGGACACATATCCACGCGATAATAGAAGACGACATTTTTCAAATGCTTATTACAACCGAAAACTTTCAAATGGTGAGATTATTTCACGACGTTGGCTTGTGTACTCAGTTTATAAAGATGCGGTATTTTGTTTTTGCTGCAAACTTTTTGATTTCAACATGAATTTAAAGTTAAACGGAAATGGATTCAATAAATGGAAGAATTTAACAGAAGCATTAAAAATTCACAAAAATAGTAAGTCACACAGAATTGCTTATCAACTATGGATTGAGACAGAAATACGAATGAAAGCTGGTGAAACTATTGATAAACAAGAACAAAAACTAATCGAAAAGGACAGTTTAAGGTGGCGAAGTGTTCTTGAACGATTGATGAACATTACTTTATACTTGGCAACAAATAATATGGCCTTCAGAGGTTCTTCTGATAAATTGTATGCAGTTAATAACGGCAAATTTTTAGGATTGGTACAATTACTCGCTAAATTTGATCCTATCATGTTAAACCACGTCACGCTAGCTCTTAAAGGAGATATTTCTGATCATTACTGTGGAAAAACCATTCAAAATGAAATGATAGATGTAATGGCATCAAAAGTAACCAACATAATTATATCCAAAGCTCTAAAAAGTACATATTATTCTATTATTGCTGACTGCACTCCTGACGTATCTCACAAAGAACAACTCTCGCTTACGATTAGAATTGTAAATATATCAGAATATCCTATAAAAATAAATGAACACTTTCTAGGGTTTTTCAATGTTAACAACACGACAGGTCTTGGTTTAACAGAAATCATAATTGGAGCTTTAAAAGATTTTGGACTGAATATAAGCTTTTGTCGAGGGCAAGGTTACGATAACGGTGCAAATATGAAAGGTAAAAAAATAGGTCTACAAAAGCGAATATTAGATTTGAATCCTTTGGCTTTTTACCTTCCATGTGGAAGTCATTCTCTCAATTTGGTTATTTGTGACGCAGCGCAGTCTTCACTAAATTCCATTAACGTTTTTGGCATAATACAAAGATTATTCACATTATTTTCTGCATCAACTTCACGCTGGAATGTTTTACTTAGTCATACAACAAACTTCACTCTTAAACGATTATGCGAGACTCGTTGGGAAGCCAAAATTGAGAGCCTCAAAGCCATTCGATACCAAATAAGCAGCGTACATGATGCTTTAATTACTATATATGAAACTGAAACCAAAACTCCCGATATTGCACACGAAGCGCAAACATTAGCAGAACAATTAAAAGACTATAGTTTTTTAGTTTTTTTAATTGCATGGTACAATGTACTATTCCAAATAAACGTTGTTAGTAAAGCAATGCAAGCCAAAGACATGGATTTAGTACAGTGCGCTGAAATGTTGAAAAAATGCATCACATTTTTGGAAAATTACAGAACGTTTGGCTTTAAACAAGCAACGGTTGATGCCAAAGAGTTAGCTGAAGAGTTGAACATCGATGCAATATTTAAGCCGCTTAAAAGAGTGCGACGAGTGAAACGTCATTATGATGAAAATGCTTTTGACGAACCAATTCAAAATCCCGAGAAAAAACTTGAAGTGACATTTTTTAACCCTTTATTAGATACATGTCTGTCGTCAATAAATGAAAGATTTGAACAACTTAACGAATATGTAAATATATGGAGTTTTTTATTTAATTTGGATAATTTGCCCATCAAGAATGAACTTTTAAAATTGTGTAAACAATTACAAGAAAAATTAACTGTAAATACAAAATCAGAAATCGATGGTGCTTTGCTATGCGACGAACTAATAAGTGTGCAGTTTTTTATAAAAGATAAATTAAGCAATGTTGAAAATGAAATAAATACAAAAGAGATGACACCACTTTTTGTACTGAATCTTATTAAAAAACATTGTCTACAAGAGTTATATTCAAATACATGAATTGTTCTGCGCATTCTTTTTACAATACCTGTTACTGTTGCTAGTGGAGAACGTAGTTTTTCTAAACTGAAGTTAATCAAAACATATTTAAGAAATACCATGTTGCAAGATCGACTTAATTCTCTATCTATGTTATCAATCGAGCAAGATATAGCTGAAAATTTAGATTTTTCTAGTTTGATAAGAGATTTCGCGGACAAAAAAGCTAGAAAAGTTAGATTTTAAAATTTAATAACTCTTGCTTATATAGTTAGAGGATTTATTATATGTTTAATAAAAACATTTGTTATTTTTAAAGCAGCGTTGCGTTGTCTATTTATTTAGTCACTCATTTCTATAAACCCATATCATGAAAAGTCTAAGTTTACAATTTTAATAAAAAATTAATTAAATAAGAAACTTGATGCACAATATGGATCTCTTTGCATTAAACTATATATTCCCTTTAGCACTCTTGTTCATCATTTTAGAGCATTGGTCTCGTTGTTAATGGTAACAACCTACCCATATATACCTAGGGGCGCGTTCACCCAGTTTTGCCCAACCTGTCAAAAAAGCTAAGGCCGGCGCTGTATATATATATATATATATATATATATATATATATATATATATATATATATATATATATATATATATATATATATATATATATATATATATATATATATATATATATATATAAATATATTAATATATATTTAGACTGTTTACCTGTTCCAATCTAATCTAGTGGATTCAAAAAGAAGGGACCGCGCTGGAAACATGAGTGGATTAGAAGGATCAGCCTTTTTTGAATTAATAGTTGGTAAGTATAATGTGCTCCACTCAGCTAATCAAGTTTCGTTTGCTTTTTTTGTATTACATTTAAGCAATAGACTGTTATATTCACTCGTTTTTTAGAAGTGGTAACCAGCTAGAAGTCGTAACCTGCTCGTATGAAAGGTGAAATTGTTAATTTTATTCAGCAACGCCAAGAAACAGAGCTCGCTCAAGAAACAGAAAAGAAAGAGAAAAATGAAAATATATTCTGTTGAACAATACTGTTGTTTTATTTATAAATTATTCTCCTATGTTTAAACATGTGAAAGATGTAGAAAATGCTTCTTCTTTTTTCTCGACATAGGAATGAGCTTTTTGTCATACTTTGTATGAAGAGCTATTATCATTTTCATTTGATAGAAAGAGCTTTTCATATAAGAAAAGTAGGAATACTATAGTGTATAGGATACTATAGTATACTAATAAGTATGGCAAAAAAGTCGTTTCCGACCCCGAGAAAAAACACTTTTTTAGATTTGCATATTAGACTAAAAAAAAGCGTCTTAAAGGCGCATTTTTTATGTCTTTTCATAACAAGATTAAGATAAAAAAGACGTCTTTTCGATGTCGAAAAAAGATGTCTTTTAGATTTGCATAATCGATTAAAAAAAGACGTCTTAAAGACATCGAAAATAAGACTTTTAAAGACGTCGTTTCGACGTTTTTTTTCCCACTTGGTAACCGCTAATGTGTAATCAATTACATCGTTATGGAATCAAAGAACCTTTGACCTGGGTAATTAATGATTAGATTGTCTAAAAATGTGAACTACTTTTGTGCTGTTAATTTTTTTTTTACATTTTCAGATTGTTCATCCAATAACAATAGTTATTGTTATTGTTATTGTTTTCATTACAATAGTCCTAACCCTACATAAGTATATATATATTTACATATATATATCGCTTCTCGGCCTAATGGCTAAGATCAAGTGTAGTATCTGTTCTTATTTCGGCTCCGAACCATCTCTCAATTGGTTCTCAATTGTTGTTAGAAAGTAGAAATAGCACAAGATCGAAACCGTGACAGTCGATAGAGGTTCTTTTTCAGTGTCTCGTTCTACGTCCGGAAATCTCAAGGCAATCCGTCCACTCTGGACGTTAAATGGAGATAAACCCTTAAGTGGGCCCTGCTCAATTTTGGCTAAGTGGCAACAAATAAACCCTTAAGTGGGCTAAACGCGGAGTTTTGACTCCCTAAAAACGCCGCCTTCTAGGGCTCTGTGTAAGTCTGGTTTCAGCTTCAGGTGTCTCTAGTTGGTCGGTAAAAAAAAAAAATATATTTATATACATATATATTAATATATTTATATATAAATATAAATATATATATATATATATATATATATATATATATATATATATATATATATATATATATATATATATATACATATATATATATATATATATATATATATATATATATATATATATATATATATATATATATATATATATATATATATATTTATACATATTGCATACATTATTTAGCTTAAGCCAATTATGTGTATTGCACCTTCTAATATCGTGTTCAATCCTGTCCGCTTTCTCTATGCTATCTTCTTAACTCGACTACTTTTGTCTTTCACTTTAACATATCTTCGTTCTTCCCAAATTCACTTACTCTTGGTCCGTAGAGCGGGTTATGACGCTCCTTGTGGAGCCAAACTTGTCTTTGCGGACCTTGTAATGTGACTTCTGTATGGCAACTAGCCGGAGGAGTATAAACCATAATACCGATATGCATAAGTGCATTAAAAATTATGTTTAAGTATATTCACATTTAAAAAAATATAATAAGACATATTCACATATTTTTGCGTCACGGTAAGGAAGAAGGCGTGAACTTCCTGGTAAAACGTACTTTAGCGGTGCTGTGTGACTAGACCGTTAGGTCTTCTTGGGGCACCTAAATAAAAAACAAAAAAAAACATACAGAGTAAAAGCGGGTAAACCAATCACCGAACAATAAAAATCAACTAACTTTTTTTTTTTTTTGCCATATAAGTTTATTCATAACATAAAACATATGTAAATACAAATAGAAGGGGCAAGAAGAAGACATTAGTTTTATCGCCAAGCCCCTTAATCTTTACCGTAATACACAATAATAAAATATAAAAATTATAAAACTACAGCACTACAGCATATAAAATATTGTTATATAGATTTTTTATATTTATAAGAATGAAACAATAAACAAACAAAAAGATAAAATTCATAGGTCCTGAATGCCCCTCACTAACTATAAAAATCTACTTTTTTTCTCATTTTAAAATAAATAAAAAGGACGAATATTAAATACCAAAGTAAAAGCAAATACTATAGTATAGCAAAAAATTATATACTTTAAAAGCATGCACGCAAATACTCATAATTCTGAAACTTTCCTTACAAACCAGTATGCACCTTAAAGAAACCATGCGTTATGTTGCTCATCAACAGTCTTTGCTTCAATTTGGTCTTAAACTCATTAAGCGTTGCAATTGTTTTAAGATCATTAGTTAATATTTTATTCCATACTTTTGGTCCTCTAGTAAAAATTGAAAATTTAGTAGCCGCTAAATTGCTTGTGGGCTGATGGTAGCAATTATACGAGTATCTGGTTAAGTATCTGTTCTGATTTATTTTGAATAGCAGATTAAATATTTTAAGAGATAAATTTTATTAATTTTGAACATAAATATAAGAACATGATAGATGTTTATTTAGTAGAAATCCCTTGTATTTAGCTTAATAAACAATGCTTGAGAATGTGTAAAACGTCCCAAATTGGATAGGATTCTGATTGCATGTTTTTGTTTGTTAAAAAGTTTTTTAATTTTATTTTTATTTGTACTGAATCAAGCAATGTTTTCATAACTTAGATGACAATAAATGAAAGAGAAATATAAAAATTTTAAGCAACATGGATTTAAAAAAGGTTTTGCTCTACAAATTAGACCGATTTTCTTCGATATTTTACTTTCGAGATAATGTAAGTGATCTCTCCACGTCACATTATTATTTAAAGTTATTTATTGTATTATTTATAAATTTTTTTTTTTTTTTTAAATAAGATAGAAAATACCAACAAGCACATTATTTATGAATTTTTTTTTTTAATTTGTTTTTGAAAATAAGAAAACTAGAAGAAAAAAATTTTGCTGATTCAGAAGATAATGCTAAATACTTTATTGTTTGCAATGGCGTTAAAGACGTCGGTTGATTAAACGTTTCAGTGATAGCTAATGCTTGTTGATTTATTTTGTTTTTGTTAAGTTCCATCCAACCAGATTTCGAAATTGAATATTTGGTGCCAGTTGGACTACCTAAAGCCCACTCAGCTGTAAAGTTTCGTTTTGCTTTGAATACCACGAATGTTGGTGTAAAGTATCCATCAGCATTACAGCAATTGTTCACTGTATAATAGATTTTTTCATTATTACCAGTGAGTTTCAAAACACGCTTTGCATCTTTTCGACATAAAAGTTGCTTTCCCTTGATCACCACAGAAACCCGTTTCATCGCAATTCCAAATATGACAACCAGAAGTTATCCCAGACAATTGATATTGTTTAGTGACAACTTCAAAATAATTATCAATTATTTCTTGCGTACAAGAAGCGGCTCTGGCAGATGCTAAAGTGTGAGTTTTTCTCGTGGAAATTTCTTTAGACCATCGGTTTATAAATGCATAAAACCAGTCTTTGCCAGGCCTGTCGTTTTTAAATAGGCCTAATTAATTTGTACGAAGAAGGTAACTGCATACAAAGTTCATGACACCATTTCGTGTTAAACCATAACCCCGATAAGATAAGAACTAAAACGCATGCACCATAATTGACTTTGTTTGCTGTGAGAGTACGGTTGATGATTTTGATCCCTTGAATCTAGCACTGTTGTTGTTCTTGCGACCTATTAGAGTTGCAAATGAAATGCCATATTATTTTGTCTAATTTTTAACTATAAAACAAAAAAAGTTATGTAATCAGTATTAAAATTAAATTTTCTACAACATAGAGGTAAAATTAATTTTAAACGAATTATGGTTTTTGAATTATTACAATAGAAAAAAAATATCTTTCCACAGATAAGGCCCGCGATATTTAATTGAATAGTAGGTTATTTTTAAATTTTACTTTTTTTTTTTTTTTTGCCGTGTTAATATATACGAACTGTATCTTAATAACAAACCGACAAGAAAGGTGGCCCACATGTGGTCATAGTGCTTTTGTGTGGATTAAAAGTGAAAAAATATATTACAGTTGATGAATGACGTATTTGATGAAGATAAGTGTGGCCCACTTGTGGAACACATAATGCGGTTCACATAACTAATCCACTTAATGTGACATAATCTTTAAATAAATACGTCCTAAATTTGATGTGGCTATCATATGGGCCATACATATAAAACTCACAATCTTGCCTCATTTGGAGTTTTAAATTTTGACCAATTGTAATAATTCTATCGCAATGCATTGTAAACTCTAGAATATTCCATGATATCATGTGGCTTATTGTTTTGATAGTTTTCAATTCATAACTGTTGTAAGTATGTTTGAGCGATAAAAATAATTATTTATAAATGAAAAAGTGTAAATATATAAAATAAAAAACAAAAGCCTTGGTGTGTTAGGACATTTACTTATCGTAATATACAATTTGTTATTATTATTAAACTATGTTTTTTTTTATATGATTTTATGTGTGATTTAGATTATATAACAGAATATTGTTAAAAGAATAATATTTAAAACTATATTACTTATATACAGGGCCTTACCGGGGGTGTGTGGGCCCCCCTCCCTGACAAGAAAGGTATATGTGGCCCACGTGTGGGCCACTCTTCAGCCAGCTGTCATTTCTGTATGCTTATAAAGTGACTATTAAAAACAATCGTAAACAAATTAATGAAAAAAATTTTAAATAATTATTTTAAATGTGGAAACGAAAATATTTATTTAAACATGGACTTATACTTATTGATTACAATCAACAAATGTAAGTTTTTATTTTCTTAAATTAGATAAAATTTTACTAGATTTTAATAATTAATATAAAATTATTTTAGACATCAACACTTAGTAGCCAACCATTACTGCCAATATCACGCCATGCTATAAGTATTAAACATGTTGCTTAATAGCAATACTTTAAGTTAAAATTTGTAAAAGTTATTATTAGATATTAAAATATGATGAATGATTAGAATGTTTTTCGAGAGATC